CCGGCCCCCTAAACACAGCCGAGTGGCGTTCGGGGTACATTTTCCGTGTTCAAAGCTTAGTCTGGCTTCTCCCGTTATTTCAACCAGGTGAGCCCCGAAAGGAGTGAGGATGAAGTGGTTAACGTGTGTACACATTGGGGGGACACATTCACTGTCTCAGGACCTTTCCTCGGCCCGGTGCGTGATGCGTGCACGGTGGGTCCCTCGGCCTGGCCTGCAGGGAGGCCCGAAATGGGCTCCGACATCCCCTGGACGGGGTCGTGTGCGGAGCAGCTGGCGCGGGGGAGGAGCAGAGCCCGGTGGGCACTGTGACGCTGCCACTCCTTCTGGCCGGGCTGGCCTGCTGCTGCTGCCACGCGGTGGTCACGGCCGCCTCCCTGCCATCTCCACGCTCCCGTCCTCGGCGACACCCGCACACCCGTGGCTGCGAAGTGGCCACAGGCTCACGCCCATCAGTCCTGACAGTGGTTCTGATCCCGGTCCCGGTCCTGGTCCAGTTGGGGAGGGGTGTGCAGGGGGAGTGTCCGTGGAGAACCTTGCACCACCACAGTGGCACTCAGTCAGGCAGCTCCTGCGTTGAGCGTCTGCCCCCTGGTGGTCAGTGCACGCCAGAGCTACCAGTCAAACAGTCAGACAGTCGCTTAGGCTTTTATATAGAACTAGAGGCCCAGTGCACAAGGTTTGTGCAAGAATAGGCCTTCCTTCCTCTGGCTGCTGGCACCGCCTTTCTGCCTTTGCTCCAGCCTGGAGCCACCTTCCCGCCTCTTGCCTTGTCACGTCAATTTGCATATTCCCTCCTTATTGGCCCTGTGGGTCGCCATCTTTGTTGTGGAGTTATGGTCAATTTGCAAATATAATACCGTCTTTATTAGATAGGATTAATCGTGGCTATAACGAGCATGTGCAGAGCATACAGCTGGTCACTTGAGGGATCTGTGGTGTGCATGGACTACGCTGTTTTAAGATGCATACTCTCCCCAATTTCAGAAAATAGAGACGTATCCCCCAATGTTACCTTCAAACACAAAATACTTTCAAATCCTTGAATTGTATGCACATTTAATGCACAAATCTACATAAGATATTTATAAATTATGTTTATGACTTAAGACAACACAGGAGTAGAATGCTGCTTAAATGTTAACTAAAGACCTAAGTCTTATGAGGACAACACCCATGGGAAGTAAAAGCCTCCCATTTTCATATAAAAAGCATACCCAAGCATATTTACGAGGCGCGTAAATGCCCTGTGAGTCACGGGTGCCACTCAGGAGCCTGTTTCCAGCATTTTTGTTGGCTTCTGGGCAAATGACTGTGCATAGGAAGCGCTAGCCACACATTTCTGCAGAGTTCTCCACCAGGACTCGCAGGAGCTGATCTCTAATGGGAGATAACACACCAGGAGGCATTTTACTTAGGAAAGGAAATACGTTTAATTCACTAAATCGCTAGGGAGCTGAATTAAGAGTCTACAGTTATTTCATGATCCGATGGGTAGTTAGGTATAATTATTCAAATTATAGCAATGGGGAATCCATAGTTTTAAAGTAAATGGAAAATAAACCTACTGGCATCATTCCTTTGTTCTGCTTTTACACACACACACACACACACACACACACAAACACAAGACATATACATATACACACACAGGCACATATATACACACACAGAGAGACACACAGACATACATACACACAGAGACATATACATATACACACAGGCACACATATACACACAGACATACACACACAGAGACACACATAAACACACAGAGGCATATACATATACACACAGGCACATATATACACACACAGACACAGACACAGACACACACACACACACAGACATGCATGTGTCTGCGCTCCTATGCTTCTTCCCCTTACTTAGTTAATGCCGAGCTACAGCTTAGCCCTCATTACTCAGGGAGCTTTGGCCAGTGCCGCTTCATTGGTTTAGTTCTGGGGTGCAGGGCTGGGGAAGGAGCTGCTAGAATGAGGAACTGTTCGTCACACTGTGTGGTGATAAGGGATGGGGATGGGGTATACAAATATATATATATTTATGTTTTTTATGTTTATAATGTTTGTATTCAACTGGTTGCAAATAAATGTAAAACACGCAGCCAGCCCCCAAAGGTGGGCACTTTGAAAATTCTGAAAGGAACACATCCCTCGGGCGCTGGCAGTCGGGGTCCCAGTGCACCCCCAGCCGAGCTGACCCGGGCTCCCACAGTGTGCATGAGCACCCCTCACTACCCCCATCCAGAGCCAGAATAATCACCGGCTCACGCTCCGCTCCAGGCAGCTGGAGTCTGTATTTAACTCCTCGCTCTGACAGTGCTGTGCTGTATGAATAATGCATGAGGGCATTTGCATTTAAATACACGTACTTCGCTGATGGAGGCAGGACAGCACAGGCCCGGCCGCCCCCTCCACTCTCTCTCCTCTGACCCGAGTGGAGAAGTGCCCACCTTTCAGCCAACTACGTGTTTTCTGGGCGTGCTCCTGGGACGGGGGCCCGCATTTAGGAGGGTGTAAGCCTCCGGCTGCTTCCTGGTGGGTGGAAGCCCAAGTCAGCCCCCGGCCCAGGTCCCGGGCCACCCAGGTGGAGGGAGGTCTGGGGAGGTGGCCACCGCAGGGTCCTAAGGCCTCGGTGGGGCGCCGGTGCTGGGCGCACAGCCCTCTTCCTGGGTGTCACCCCTAAGGCGCAGCACGCGGAGTGAGCTGCCCTCACCTGTGTCAGGGTTCATGCTCGGGGGGAGGGGTCCCCAGGGGGCTGTACGGGGCGGATGTCAGATGCCAGCCGCTCTGCCAGGGACCAGGTGGGGTGGGTCTGCCACCCTGTGGGTCCGGAGCCCACTCCTCAGGAATCTGAGTGGAGAGGAAGATTGGGGGGGGTCTCAGAGGCAGGGGGCTCATCCCTCCCCTCCCGCACCCGGGTCAGGCCCTGAGGCCCTGGGAAGGCTGTCCTTGTCTCAGTCACAGGCTGTGTGGTGGCAGAGTCGGACGGACCACAGCCACGCTGGCTCCCGTGGGACCACAGCCCGTGGCCCCCGTGGATCTGGCTTCGTTGCCACAGACATGGGGCTTCCCCGGCAGTACCCACGGGCCTTTCTGATTAGACACAGAAGCTGGAGAGTTCCGTTAAGAAGCTCATTGACTCTTTATGTTTAAACACGTGACCATAATCGAGTTTTCTGGAGTTTCATTTGTATTTCTTTATTTGTTTGACACTCGGTATTATTCTATTACTAGAGGCCTCGTGCCTGAAACACATGTACGGGGAGGGGCCCTAGGCCTGGTCGGTGTTCAGGGCCGATTGGGGCCGATAGGGGCCTTCCTTCAGTTTATGCTGCCCCCTGATGGTCAGCGCACATCATAGCGAGTGGTCGAACTCCCGGTCAGTCAAATCTCTCTCTCTCTCCCCCCACTCCCCTTTCTCTTTCCCCTTCTCTCTCCCCCTTCCTCTCTCCTTCCCTGCCCATGGTGGACCTGCGTGGGAATGATCGGATGGGCGCTCATGTGTAAGCTCCAAGAGTGTTTTCATTTTAGTCCCTGATACTGAGATGGACCAACTCCCACCCCCCCACCTCCCGCCTCGCCCACCTCCCCTGGACTTTAAGTACAAAGCTGCTTTTTATTTATAAAAACTCCTAGGGTATGTGTTACTGTCACTCCTGAGACGAGTGATTTATTTTCATTCCCTGAAGAGACTCAGGGAGGCGAAGCACCTCCCAGAGGACTCGGTGTGAGGTCTGAACCGAGCGCTCAGCGCCTTGTGCGAGGAAATGCACACGTGTAATACCGTGTGTGCTTTGTATGGAGTGGGTTCATTTTACAGTCACTTCCCACGCATTCCCATAAACGTCAATCACGGCCACGCTGAGACAGTCAACGTGTTAAAAACAGAACCAGCCCAGCCGGCGTGGCTCCGTGGCTGAGTGCCGATCGGTGAACCAGGAGGCCAGGGTTCGATTCCCGGTCAGGGCACAGGCCCGGGTTGCGGGCTCCATCTCCAGCGTGGGGCGTGCAGGGGGCGGCCGGTCCATGATTCTCTCTCCCTTTCCCTGCCTCTCGGAGATCAATGAACATGTATTTAAAAACAGAGCAAAGTGAATCAGAGTCTGGGGATTCAGATTACACCTTCTTTATATTTCTGATTTAGAACAGAAACTGGATGGCAGGAGGAGAGGGCTGGGAGAGGGGTGTGCATGGGGCACAGAGGCTGATAAAGTGCGTGAACACAAAATAAAACAGAATGAAAACCGCTATTTCCCATGGAAAGACTTTATTATCTGCGAACCAGCCGTTTCCAGAACGAGACAGCCACGCCTGGGGAGGTGGAGGGGGGATAGCCACGCCTGGGGAGGTGGAGGGGGGATGGCCATGCCTGGGGGCGTGGAGGGGAGACGGATATGCCTGGGAGGGTAGGGGGGGATGGCCATGCCTGGGGAGGTGGGGGGACAGAATACAAGTCAGAGGGCAGAGTCCACAGAAGCGTTGTGAAATTGGGGAATAGCCTACAGCTGTTCAGGTGTTTGGCCGGCAGGAGGCAATAACGTGCAGGCTGAGATGCTCTGAGTTGTCCGGCAGCAAGCACTAATACTCAGGGTTGGGGAAGTGCCGTTCCAGCAGGTGAGCTACAGCTGTGGCTCAGCTCTTGGCGTCACCAGCCTTCAATGGAACTCCGGTAATGGCGCCCTGCTGGAGCCGGCTCCCGCCCCCGGTCAGCCCGGCACTCCGGCGCGGGCAGGGCAGAAGGATACGCGGGGGCGGTGGGGTCAGGGTCCTGGCGGGAGGGTCGGCGGGGAGTGCGCCTGGTTCCGGAAGCCACTCGGCCGGACGGCACGGTGCAGGGCTGCCTTGCAGGCTTCTCCAGCAGCTGCGGGTGCTCGCGCTCGGCCGCGGCTCAGGCTCCGCAGCCGCCTCGCAGGTACCGCAGCGGTGGGAAGGGGCAGGGCGGGGGGAGCCGCGGAGGGAAGGTTCCCAGCGGGTGGCTCAGCGGCCGGAAGGTGCGGGGCGGGTGGCTCAGAGGAAGGAAGGTGCCTGGCAGGTGGCACAGTGGTCGGAGGTTTCTAGAAGCCCAGCTCAGCGGCGGGCAGCTCTGGGGCCTGAGCCTCGGGCACGCACAGTCTCTCCAGACGCAGCTTCGGGCCTGGCAGCCACTGGCCGTGCAGCAGGAGGGGGCGAGGCCACGGGGGACGGAGCCGGGGTTCCCTCGCCTTCTGCACCCGGAGCCGCCCGGCCTGCAGGGGGGCGGGGGCGGGACGCACACCTGGGCGGTGTGCAGGCGCAGGGGCTGAGGGGGGCCGACGAGGGACCCCCAGGCTGCAGGGGCGCAGGGGCCTGGGCGGCGGCCTGAGCGGCGGGCTGGGCGGGGTCCCGGACCAGGTCCAGAGCTGGGGGTCCCCCGGGCCCCGCAGGCCACACCCCGTGTGGGAGCCGGACGGCCGGGCACGCAGCAGGTCCCAGGGTGCCGGCTCACGGTGCAGGCTCCGGGCGCGCAGCTCCACGCGTGTCCGTGGCCTTCGTGGGGGTCACCCAGGAGCCACAGGGCCCCCTGGTGGCGGCTGGGAAGGCAGAGCCCGAAGGCAGGGCTGGTGTCTCCCGAGCAAATGGGGTCCCAGCAGCGGGGAGTGCAGGGGGCGCCCAGGAGGCACGGGGAGCCCCGGAGCATGTCCCCTGCGCCCAGACCCGCTCCCGCTGCAGGGTGCTGGGTGCTGGGTGCCAGGGAGGCCGGGGGCCGGGGAGGCCGGTGGCCCAGGCGGCCGGGGCCCCTTATATGTCCCCGGGACCGAGACGCCTCCCCCTCTTCCTTCCCGGGACAAGCGGGGGACCCCTCATTAGGCCGGGGCTGCGGGGTGGCCCACGCAGGAAGCAGGCATTTAGATCAAAGTGTCCCGATGCCCCACCGCCCCCTCGCTCCCCGGGCGGATGCCATGGCCTCGGCCGGCCGCCGGGAACGGGTCATTACCGTTAACGAGGAGCCTCAGACCAGCCGGCTGCTCCCCTCTCCCGAGGGCCTGGGCGGGGTCACTGCTGGGGAGGAGGGGGCACCAGCCACAGAGACAGGCTGGCCCCTCGGCGTCCCGCCTGCCCAGGCCTGTCCTGGTGCCGGCCTCTGGCTGCGGAGTTCCTCCTGTCAGGCCCCCATCCTGGGAGGCTGGTGACCCACAAGGTCAAAGGTGACCCTGACCTCCCGAGTCCGTGTGGCCGGTGGCCGGGCTCCTGGCAGCCGACCCATGCTTCTCACGAGGATGTTTCTCTCTCTCCCTCTCCCTTCCTTCCCTTCTAAAATCAATCAAGACGTATTTTAAAACAAGAAAGATTTCTAGCCACCGGGCGGTTTTGAGGAACCCTTGTTCCTTCTGAGGAACGAGAAACAAACCCCCTTTATCAAGGGAAGAGCTGATCCTGGCAGCTCACGGAGGGGCTGACAGGGACCCCGTTTCCTCCAAAGGGCAGTTGCCCTGGAGGCCGAGCACAGGAGGTCAGAGAGCAAACCCTCGCAGCAAGCGGCCTTAGAGACAGGAATGGAGGCCCCCGTCCAGCCTCTAGGCCCCTGGTCGGCAAACTGCGGCTCTCGACTCACCTGCGGCTCTTTGGCCCTTGAGTGTGTCCCTTCCACAAACACCACGGCCTGGGCTGGCCTGTGTTGAAGAAGAAGTTTACGTTTAGAAATCCGCTCTCCGAAGGAATGTCGGTCCTGGTGCTGTTGATGTTTGGCTCATGAGTTTGCCGTTCTGCTGAGCTGCTAGCTTTTTCCCCTGCCACGATTTACACATAATCACGCGCTCACTCCACCTGCCACAGAGCTGTCAGATGGAGCGACAGTGACCCATGGTTTGTAGCAGCAAATTGTATGCAAATGCAGACCCAGAGCCTGAGGCTGCGGAGTCAGAACGGCTCTTCCAGGAGCAGTGACCTCGGCCGCTCCACCAGAACCGGCCAGGCGCTGAGGAGGGCCCTGAGCCTGGGCGGCCAGCACCCGTCACGTGTCACACGTATGTAAACATCTTTGAAACGTCCCAGAGCACGTCCAGGGTCTCTCCTCGGAGTGTTGTTCGTGTAGGAAGAGAGAACAGGTGGCCTCTCGCAGGAGGTTCCACAGCGTGAAGCACCCTCTCTGAGCGGGTTCCCGGAGAGCCTGGCTGGGCCCGCTCCGGCCGCGGTCAGTCCCCGGCTTTGCCTCAGCTCCCCGGGCACCGAAGGGGCACCGATCGGGCTGCTTTTCTCCGGCACCGAGGGCACCGTGTCCCCGTTTCCCTCTGCGGTGTGAGCGCTAATAGCCCGGTCAGTGAGCTCCTCGTCCCCCCTCTGCAGGGCCCTCCGGTCTGTGTGTCCCCCTCCCCCCGTGGGGCCCTCCGGTCTGTGTGTCCCCCTCCCTCCGCGGGCCCTCTGGTCTGTGCGTCCCCCCCCCCCTCCGCGGGCCCTCTGGTCTGTGTGTCCCCCCCCGCTCCCTCCGCAGGGCCCTCTGTCTGTGTGTCCCTCCCTCCGCAGGGCCCCCCGGGCCTGTGCCCCCCCACCCCCCGCGGGGCCCTCCGGGTCTGTGTGTCCCCCCCGTTCCCTCCGCAGGGCCCTCTGGTCTGTGTGTCCCCCCCCCGCTCCCCCCGCGGGGCCCTCCGGGTCTGTGTGTCCCCCCCGCTCCCTCCGCGGGGCCCTCCGGGTCTGTGTGTCCCCCCCCCCGCTCCCTCCGCGGGGCCCTCTGGTCTGTGTGTCCCTCCCTCCGCAGGGCCCCCCGGGCCTGTGCCCCCCCACCCCTGCGGGGCCCGCCGGGACGCCTTGGCCGGGCCCCCGGGGCCTCCTCTGCAGCCTGAGCGCCCGTGTCTCCCCCGCCTTTGGGACCCAGGCCTCTCCCGTCGGCCCGTGTCCTGACGCCCTCGGTTCAGGTCGTTCCCGTGTTGTGATTCGTCGCCGGGAGAGCGGATCCTGCACCGGGACCCCTCCTGGCTTCACGCGGACGTGCAGGTCACCGAGTCTGAACCCGTTTCCGGGGCGATAACACCCGATGCAGCAGGGCCCGGCCGGCCTGGCGGGCGGCACACTGTCCCCGCACAGTCAGCAGCCGTCATATCGGCTCCAGGGGCTCTGACCTGGACTGTGACCTCTGACCTCTGACCTCTGACCTCTGTCCTCTGACCTCTGACCTCTGTGGGTTCTCCTTCAGACCCACAGCCGCCGCCTCCGAGATCATGACTGGCAGGTGGGCATGGAGGCCCCGCCCACGGCTCCCAGATTCCCAGACCGAACCCCTCAGGACCTCGAGGCAGCGGGTGCTGCAGGCTCTGGGGGGTGGGGGGCCGGACGCCCGGGTCAGAGAGGCCCCGGAGCCCCCTCTCCCAGAGCGGAGCCGGCAGACACGGAGCGGACAGGCCCCGGGGAGCAGGGCTGAGCCGGGGACTCCGGGCCCAGGGCGTGCTCCCAGGGCGCCTCCTCCTGGTGGGTGTGTCCGGGGGCTCTGTCCCCTCCTCACGCTGTGTCCGGGGGCTCTGTCCCCTCCTCACGCTGTGTCCAGGGGCTCTGTCCCCCCTCACACTGTGTCCGGGGGCTCTGTCCCCTCCTCCAGCTGTGTCCGGGGGCTCTGTCCCCTCTCACGCTGCGTCCGGGGGCTCTGTCCCCCCCTCACGCTGTGCCCGGGGGGTCTGTCCCCTCCTCCCGCTGTGTCCGGGGGCTCTGTCCCCCCTCACGCTGTGCCCGGGGGCTCTGTCCCCCCCTCACGCTGTGCCCAGGGGCTCTGTCCCCTCCTCACGCTGTGTCCGGGGGCTCTGTCCCCCCCTCACAGTGTGTCCAGGGGCTCTGTCCCCACCTCACGCTGCGTCCAGGGGCTCTGTCCCCCCTCACGCTGTGTCCGGGGGCTCTGTCCCCTCCTCACGCTGTGTCCGGGGGCTCTGTCCCCCCTCACGCTGTGTCCGGGGGCTCTGTCCCCTCCTCACGCTGTGTCCGGGGGCTCTGTCCCCTCCTCATGCTGTGTCCGGGGGCTCTGTCCCCCCTCACGCTGCGTCCGGGGCCTCTGTCCCCCCTCACGCTGTGTCCGGGGGCTCTGTCCCCCCTCACGCTGTGTCCAGGGGGCTCTGTCCCCCTCTCACGCTGTGTCCAGGGGGCTCTGTCCCCTCCTCATGCTGGGGGCTCAGCAGCTAGACGGAGCCCCTTCTCTGGACAGGGGACCAGACGGGGATCAGCCATGTTTTTATCCAAAAGCAGGGGCCACAGCCAAAGCCAGGCCACGGCTCCCGGAGCAGGACCGAGCCCACTCCCGAAGCTCAGCCTGGTGACCAGCCGGACGCGGGAACTGGACACGGGGTGGTTTCATGGGCTGATTTCAAGATGAGATAACTGGTGTGTCCCAAGACTGTGCCCTGAAGGCATCCACGTGGAAATCCCCCCAAAAAACACCAACTCGGACACTCCGTCTCCGTGGGAACGGCCCCCGCCCCGCCCCCCGAAGCTGAAGCGGTTTCCAGAGGCTCCCCTTTCCTCAGGTGTCTCCATGGCAACCGGTGACTTCGGTGGCATTTCTCTGGAGCTGTTTTTTCCATTGAAATCTCTGCTTTATTCCTGTTATTGTTTCATTACAATAATTTAACCCCTCAGCCACGGTGAGTTGTAAAGACCTGGATGCGTCTCTAGCGCCGTCCAGCAGGCTTGGACACCGTCTCCACGCTGTTGGACACACTTGGCCCTTGGACATGGAAACGTGTCTCACTGGGACCTGCTGTGCATTTCAGACGCCTGCTGAGGCCCCAGCCTGGGACACGCTATTGATGAGCTTTCTAGGTTTTGGATCTTGATCGTCCATGTTAGTATCAGTTGTTAAATATATTTCACCAAATTTGATGCTTTTCCAAGAACCCAGAAAGAAATGAGCACCTAGAAAGAGTACTCTAGATTAATTTTTAAAAAACACACAAACATTTTTATTGACGTTACAGAGGGAGGGAGGGGAAAGGAGAGAGAGAAACATCCACGATGAGAGACAATCACTGACCGGCTGCCTCCTGCACACCTCCTATTGGAGCCCACAACCGGAGCACGTGCCCTGACCGGGAATTGAACCCTGACCTTCTGGTTCATAGGTCAACGCTCAACCCCTGAGTCGCGCCACGGGGCATAGCCCCTTCTTTATAAATACTTTCCTACCAACCTCGGTCTCCCTAGCCTTTGCTGTGTATGATGATCATTTCTTAATTCACACACACTCACACACACACATATGTACATATACTTACACACATACTCTCACATACACATACTCACACATATACACACTCACACTCACACACACATTCACATACACACACACACACTCACACACACACGTACATATACTTACACACACACGCTCACACACACATACTCACACATATACACACTCACACACACACTCATACGTGTACATATACGTACACACATACTCTCACACATACTCACACATATACACACTCATACTCACACGCTCACATACACACACTCACATGTAATACACGCACGCTCACACACATAGTTACACACACGTGCATGCACTTACACAATAAACTCACACACTCACACACATGTACATATACTCACACACACTCTCACACACACATACTCACACATATACACACTCACACACACACGTAATACTCACATACACACATGCACACTCACACACATAGTTACACACATATGCACACACTT